GTGTCCAGAAAAGCGCTATATAAGTGGAAGCAATTATTATTATTAATTATAACACACCAACCTATCTTTGAACTGGGAGGCAACTGAACCACCCAGAGGAAACTCGCGCGAACAAGGGGAGAACTTGCAAACTCTATTCAAGGAGCACCCTAGGAACTGACCCCAGAGCCCCAGAGCTGCAAGGCAGCAATGCTAGCTGCTACTGTGTCACCCCTGCTAATGTGTATGCAACTTAATTGGATGCTGGATAAAAAATGCCTATTGGCAAATTCGTTGCAGTTCCATCAAATAACGCCGCTCAGTCCCACTACATTGACAGCAGCCTAGATTTATGATGGCAGCATTGCCTAAATCACCCAAAGTGGAAATGAAACCAATAAAAAAGATGATTCCAGGACTAAATGATTTGTGATGTTTTTGTCTATCTACTATCATACACAGCGAGCTTCTGTTGCCTTCGGTGAATAACTTGTCCTCTCCGGATGGACCCTGAGCTCAGGACTCACCGCCGATGGCCGACAGCAGCTGCTGGAGTAAATCGATGTACACCTGCACAGGGTTGGTGTCCGCGGCCTTGGGGGAGGAGCTGGATAGCTGCTCTTCGGACAGCAGGCTCTGCACATACCGCGCGATGGCTGGGGTGCTGTCCTGCATGTCGGCCAGACTCTGGGAGGTGGGAGTCACCCCCGCACTATAAGCAAGGCACATTCGTAGGTACAAGATAATCTGTGGACGAGAAAAAGCCAAACCGTCTCAAAGCAGCAAGGGTACAGCGCTAATATATCGTGCATTAGAAGAAACAGAGTTTACAAAACAAATGGTACATTACGCTCCATAAGCATCAGGAAAGTCAAGAGACCAACATTTCCTTGCAGTGTACTAATTGAAACAGAAAAATGACAATTATGAATAAAAGCAAAAAGGTTAACTCTCATCTCAAGTTGCCTGTTGGTGCCCCAGTACATAAACACAACAAACTACATGCGAGTTGGACCTCCTGTCTTAAAAGGGAACCGCAGTCCCAATTTCTCAGACTGGTTACTGAATCTCTGTAACAAAATGAATTGATTGACATTATAGAAAAAAATGACAAATTGAGACTTAAGCACAAAATCGTGAACTTTCTGAAAGTTCTGTAGGTTGACATGTCATCGGAAACTCGCATTCGAGTTCCCCCGAATTTTGACATGATTCGGGTCTTCCTGCTCACTGGTCTCCATAATGACTAATGTAATGTTCGCAGAACATGCCACTGTGCATACCTGCAAATTTCAGCTATTTTGCGATGTAAACTGGAGGTTTTATAAGTTACTGTGTACAGTACATCATACTGTTGCTGTGGTTTAAAATGCACTCATCAGTGCTGATTTTTCTAACCCTAAAGTATCAAAATAACGTTGCAGTTCCCTTTTAAGACTTTCCAGGTCCCAGACACACAAGAGAGATGAGGAAAGGCCATATTAGGCAGGTGTGCAACCAGAAGCTTATATAGAAACTAAAAAAAAACCTTCTGAGGTTAAATTTACTCTCTGCTTCACATGAACTCTGTCAGAGTCAATTACATGTGAAAAACTGTGCAGTGAAAAAGAGAAAAGGGGGACAAACTACATGAAGTAAGAAGGAACACTGAAATATCACGTCATACTGAAATTACCTCTCCAAATGCAGAAGGGTTAAAAGGAAGAGCAGTTGTACCAACAATATACTTGGCAGGAGTTTTCATTCTCTGTGAAGCCTGAGAAAATAATGCAAAATATCATCAGGACTTAGGCACCAACTTTGTATGCGCAGTGTGAGCACAAGCACCTACAAATCTTCATCATATTACTGCTAAAGGAGGGCTGAATGCATTTCTACTTTATTAGTGTTACATTCTGACACATACAGTAAGTCTAATTATTGTGGCTCGTAACAGATTCCATGATCTACTTATCTGGCTGTTTGTGAATCATAAGCAGCTGATGTTTCATCTGAAGAAGTGTATAGACTTGACCCACAGTTAACAAGTAAACTTAAAAGAAGCTATATATTTCAAAAGTGAATATTCACATAATTCAGAAAAATGGCCCTACAAAAAAACTCTAGACTGCAGTGTCTAATCTTAATTTAATCTTTGATACTAACAGAAAGCAGTCTCCAAATAAAGACAAAGAAGCCAGCACCAGCACTGGACCAAAACCTAAGAAAGCCCGGACGATTCCACAAAATTATTACCAACAAAAACGTGTGGATCATCTTTAATAATGAGAAGGAAAAGTCTGTTTTACAAAAATTCTCAATAAGCAAAAGACAGGGGCTTAATACAATTTTCTACAATGACAGACTCTGCAATTATCTGGAAAGTATTTGAAATGTGGTTCATGCTTCAGAAGTTTTGAAAGCACGAAGGATCCAACTGTCACCATGAATAATCTAGCACATGGTCCTATAGTACTTTCCACACATAGTTGTTCGTATGATTGTAAAAGATGATCTGATCCCTGGATCCCTGGAGGTGTGGGTAAATGTCCAATGTACCAAAAATGTATTTTTCCCCACCAGTGTTTCCTTGTCCAGATTCCAAGTTGTGAATGACTGCAACCCGACTGCTGAGCAGTGCAGAAGGCATAAGACTGCCGTACCTTCTCCTGTATGTAGCTGACCATGTCTGGGAAAGAGGGCATGGGCCTGGATCCCTCTTTCTCCGTAGCCTTGGCAGGAAGAGCTCTGAGAACACGCTGGGCTTCACCGTGTACCTCTTCTCGTCTGCAACGACAGATCAGCCGACCACTGCACAAAACGCTTGTCTTTGGGATTTTGTGTGACAGGAAAAAAAATAAATGGAAAAAATGTCGTCCTTCCCTTTACTATGTTCATGTTGTAAAGTCATTTGTGTGTATTCCTTTTCACAAAGTAACAGTAACTGTTATCATATTGGTACTGTTAATAAAACCATGAAGGTGAAAATATAGCAGAGAAAAATTTAGACTTTTGATCGAAGTTCCACATCAAGGTACCACTGCATCGACTAAAATGAAATTATCTTAAGATGTAGTTTAGTTTCTATTATTGTGGTAAAAATGTATTATTTAATTATTATTCTTAGTACTATTTTATTGCTGAATTATTTAATGCTGCAAAAAAAAAAACAAGCGTTCGGTTTACATTTTGATCACTTTCAATCCATTAAAAATTGCGTTCTGGTCCCAAAGCGTGCAGTGTTTCTGGAGTTTAATGGCCACCTCAAAACAAACACTCCTGTAAGGCACTGTAGAGCTTGTAATGTGTGAAAAGGCAAATAGCCTTGACCAGTGAGCTTGTGAAGTCCTCACTCTCCCTGCAGGAGTTACAGCCAGGAAGCAGAGTTGTTCAACTATTGCCAATTCGAAAATCAAGTGCATATAAAAATTGTAATAATAACTTGTGCCCCCAAATTATGTATTTATGCTCTTAGCTATTTACATGATAATTACTACATGTTAACATACTGTAATAATGTAAAACACTCCTGTCAGAAAGTGTCCTGGCTACAGAACTCATTTACAATGCTATAATATATTTGGTTTTTGCAAATCAGTGACCATCACAGCTGGAGGTGAGGGCCCGAGTACAATCTGATCCTAACCAGCAGTATGTCAAAATACTTACGGGTCTCCAGCGGCCAGCAGGAGAAGGTATCTGGAAGGTACGTGGTCAGGAGCAAACACTGTGCTTGCAAATTTCATTGCCACCTGTCGGACTTGCACCTCAGGCTGCAAAGAACCCCAAAAAATAAAAATGGAAGGCTGAATCTGAAACTGTTGCCAATGTTTCACTTTCTCAGGAGCATCACTGTGTTAATACAACAATACTTTACCAAAGAGTATCAGAGAAATAAAAGGTTTCTGGAATATAATTGAAGGAAAGGGCTAAGAGCACATTGTAGCTCTTAGTTGTCTGGGCAGAAAAACTGCCTAAGAAGTAACAGGAGCAATAGATAAGGTTATGCGGTACTGAAATTGCGTCGTATTTAAAAATAATGTTCATGCACTAGTAGGGAGTGGATATCTGGAGTTGTAAATAAGCTGTCTTTGTCCTGCGATATCTGTGCTTTACGCTTTACTGCACAAATATGTTAACTATTCCTTTTTGTGCTTGTTTTTAAAACTGCTTGTCTATACAAATGGGAAAAGTTCCAGCTGGTACTTTGAATTGCCTGTTGTTCCTGTATGCATGCATGCATACATAAACTCACCGCACCTTTCTCATAAAAAAACCTAACTGAGAGTCTGGATTTTCTACATAATCAATGTACATTCAGTTCAAATTCACAAATTGAATTGTCTTGCCCACTGTACCTTTCCCATGTAAGCAGCAACAAGAGCTTCCATGACATTTAGCAGCGCCCCCTTCAAAGATGTATAAGCTCCCACCATCATCGACAGAGCTTCCTGAATGGCCAGCCTGACCTCAGCATCTTCCTGAAATCAAAGCATGAAAACAAGTCAGCTGGTGAACTAAGTTCCCACTTAGAGCGAGTGACGGAAATTTGTCGGGCAGTATCTTCAGCTCTGTTGTGCTACATGTGCAGTGCTGCCTATGCTCTTCTCTGGCTTACATGATTGCCTCAGTGCAGTGGAGAGAAAAAAACAGGTTATTTTCACAGTCCACAGGAGAGGCAGTATCTAATACTCTTCTCTCTTGACTTAAAACACACAGTTTCTCAGCTGAAATACTTTCATCAATTACTGCTGGATTTCTTAAACACTTTTACGGTCGGCCACACTCATGAACTTCATTTCTTCACTTTTTTCATGTTTGTCTTGTCTGTTCGCTGACAAAAACATTATTTTGATCTATTTTCAGGCCATTAGTCATATGTTCTAAAACTTATCAGCCGCATGTGCTACGAGATTAACGCCAGTAGCTTCCCACAAAAAGTAAACACTGATGTTAACGGAGCTCTGAAAATATTTTTTTTGTAAACAAAACTTTTGCATTTTTAGTTTTTGGCTAAAATGTCTCTTACAAAGATGAAGTGTCGATCATCATTGAGACTATTTCTGGCCTGGATTAGTGCAACAAAGATGCAAACACTTGAGTCACAAAGCACACTACTGGGGTTGATTTTTGGAATAATGCAACAAGCTGCAAATGATCTCCTTCTTAGGCAACTGTCTAAAATGCACCAGTGCCTCCCCATTCTTTATATTATTTCTGCAATAAGTCAGCACTCTGTATAAACAGCACGAGATCAGGGTTTTATTAGCACAACCGAAGCAAAAAGCCGTGAATCATGCCTCGCAAACATTCTGGAAAAGAATCAGGCCAACTGTAACACTTACCTTACACATGGCTTCGAAAAACTGCTGGGCAAGAGCTATATCCTTCGTGAAGAGCTGAGGCATACGGCTAAAAAGGAAAAACACACCCACAGAGGTCAGTCTCTGCGGTGATCTGTGATAAAAAGGATTTTGGAATTCCGTGCATCCACTCGCTACTATGTCACATTAAAACTGCAATAATGAGGTAGTCCTCCTTAAATAAAGCTTTACAATTGATAATGGCTTTCCACTACTCATAATGCTTCGAATCTGCAGTAATACAGGTGGTAAAAAAGATGTGAAACACTGCATAATTATAGCATACTTAATAACTTCTCTTTGAACATTAAAAATGAAAAAAGGTAACATTTAATAAACCATTAGATCTGGTTAATGATGAAGAGGAAATGGAACAAAGATTCGAAGAGATTCATTCAACAATACATTTCTGTATATAAAAGATATAGCTTTTGAAAGGATGGTTAGGGTTGGTAAAAAGAGATTTAGCACATGCAAAATCAATATACTACCTTGACAGCTTTCCCACAGCTGAATAGGCTACACATAGCAATTTGGGATCCTAAAACAGAATGATTTAATTAGTATCTTACTTTTTCTTGATAAGTAACAACAAAGTGCACAAAAAATCTTCCTGGGTATAAAACACTATGTTTCCAAGTTTTCCAGATCTGAAAATGCCACATACTTTCCATGTCATGTTGAAGCCTCCAAATTAATAACTGATTAATAACAATTAATAAGGATAGAGTGATTTATGTCCTTGTTTATACCATACTGTATGTATGCGATACGCAGGGTTTGTGTGCCTCATCTGAGCAACTGCAATGCAATTTTGTATCCTCCTTATTTGTTTTTGCTGGTACTGCAGTGTTAATTCTATTTCCCACCCCCACTTTCTTCCCAGATTTCTGGCGCTGAAGCTCATCTGTCTGCATTTGCAAAGCAGAATTAACTGAGCTGCTGTGTTCTACAGAAGTCATGCTGAAAGGATGTTACAGCAAAAAATGTAACAGCCCTGGCAGCATTAATTTCACCAAGACCAGACCAGACCTCCTCTCTCTCTACATTTAATGACAAATTTGGTAACCAAGCAACACAGATTGTATACAGAAAAGAAACTGAAGCCAGACTTTAAGAAAACTATCCAGAAAAACACAATCACTTTATTTGAGTTGGAAACTCTCCCTGAATGAGACACAACATCTGAATTAATATAATACAGACACAAAAGTATAATCCAATAGTTCAAGTTTTGAGCTGTAAGGTTAAAAAATAGCCTGCAAAAACCTGTTTTACAAAAACCCGTCATGAAAATAAGATTAAAATACCCAATTCCACCAAGGAATATTTCTTACCTCTTTATATTCATTAATGAGCTTCGTTAAGCCATTGAGCAGCATAAGACCAAGAGGTTTATTATTGTCTGGACACCTGTGAGAATGTAAATAAAAGATGCAATAAAAATAAATAAATTAAACATTATTGAATGAAGTGATACTTCAACACTGACATATATGTTTCTATGTGCCCTCAAGATAATAAAGCTCTAATTTCATGTGATCCTATCAATACAAAACAGAGAAATGCTAAAATGCAAACCTTCATTTTCAATAAAGAGCTGGACAGGTACTTACACAACACAAATGTGATGTACAAACTGCAAGGACAATGATCTCAATTTGTTATTTGTATTGGCTCCAAACAGTCCATCATAAACAACCTGAAAAAATAAATACATTAGGCATTCAAAAGCGCCTACTTAACTTATTAAAACATGTTTTCTCTACTAAAGCCTTACAATAGAGTAAGCCAGCACAATAATAAAAACTTACAAGGAGTACAATGGGTAAAAAATAAATGAATTGAGAAGTAAAATATGCTTAAAACTAGTCTCTAGATAGTCTCTCTGATTAAATGTACCACAGAAATACACAAACATTTTAATAATCTTCATTTACTAGTTGTTGAAATAATAAACATGTTGTCCTCTGTTCCCAATAAATACAGAACCTTATCTTGCAATAAACACAAACTAGTTTCACAAGCAACTTAGACTACAGCAGTGGATAATGCAAATATTATTTAGCCTAATCACATCAGCATTACATAGGCTAACATGGAAGATTGCTTCTGTGATTATATAATGGTACAAAACCTAACTTCATGTTTTTAATCTATTATGTTCATTGTTATCCCTTGTACATTTTTCAGCTAAATGTAACCTGAATTTGGTGTTGACATTGCTGTTATCATTTCTAATTTAATACTTACTGGAAAAGCTTTAGGCTTTGGGTTTTTCAAGCATATATCTTTGACATCTTTTAGAAACTATCTACAACTGCAATCCAATCAGACAGTTGACGAAACAGCAAACGAAGCACCTGTACAGTATGTAGACTGAAACCATTCATCATGAAACTGTGCCTTGGACAATCTCTCTGTAACCAAGTGCTGTAGCTAATCACCTGAATGTTAGCTGGAAAGGTCTCTGCAGCGAGCTGGGAACGGAGAAGGTGAGGAAGGATCTTCAGTTTGACCCTCGTACTGACCGGCTCCCGTTTCATCTCTGGTTTCAGTGCAACACCCTATGAAAGAGGGACACAACATCTAATGTAATATGTATTTTCCTGAATCCAGTTCAAATAAAGATTCTAAAAAGAAACCAGTTGATTCCTGCTTTTTTCTGCTCCTCAAAAACCTCTTCTTCATAATGAATAAATGATGAATTATTAATAAACACGATATTGGCCTATTTTTATAAAAGAGATGAAAAACTGATAAAGTGTATAAGGAATTCATTAGTTGTTTATTATCAACTACCATGGAAACCTTACTGTATATCCTTAAGACATGGATAGGAAATGTATTAAGCTTTTGTCAGTAGTTATCACTTTTTGTCTGTAATAAATACAATATTAAAATCATTAATGTTAAATAATAAATGTAATATTAAATGTGTATAAGTTTGATCCCAGTAGTGCAGAAAGGTCGATTCTGTAGTTATGGAACATATTCTCCAGTAAAACAAACCTTATGGGTATACAAATCTGTGCTTTGAATACAACATTGTTGAAAAAAAATGCTTGCTGATAAAAGTTCAAAAACCAATTTGGACTGAGCATTGAGCTCTGGATCTTACCAGTAGTTTTCCAGGAAGAAATTAAGCTCATATAACAACAGGCTCTAAAAACCCAACTGGACACAATGGACATGGACATGGAAATGGACACAAATTGGTTCACATTTTGGACACAAAATGTACACATTTTTTGAAACTGCAAAACGCAGAATGAGATATCTGCATGATCATTCTCAGTAAGTCAATGACTTTAACAATGAGTATCACTATGGTTTATAGAAATGTAAATCTGCAGTTCAAGACAGCAGCATTACCACCTAGTTGCCTGACCTCCTGAGATTGAAGAAGCAAAGAAAGCCAGTGCCTGCCTGGTCAGCATTGGGATTCGAAACCTCCAAGAATTGTAACCCTTGCTGCTGTAACTGATTGGAGGATCAGTATGTGGAACGCTTCCTTCTGGACCAGAAAACCCACTTTGTCAGCACAGTGACAGTGGGCACTGTGCTGTAGGAGCTACGGTCTTTTGGATTAATGACTTGGTCATTAAAGATCCCATGGCACTGTGGGTAACAGTACGGGTGTCCTGCCTGACACTGCTCTTGTCTTGCACAATCTAATCAAACTCAGATTTATTCCCTAATTCAAATGGAAGCTTAGTTTCTCACTTCTTCACCTGACCTGTTGTGTAGTGAGGCAGGTGCATCACATCACTAGTGGATGATGTGGGTTCCCTTCTATAAAACGTACTCTGGGATCCTTCGGGATGAAAAACGCTATGCCAATGTACACAATGTGTTACCATTAAAGTATACAAGCATATTGTTAGAAAAATATCATAACCACATACAATAAAAATGATTGTTCACTCTACAGAGCCTTACCTCTTTTGTTTTAAGTGGAATATCCCCAAGATACACCTTATACATCTTGTTAATTATTGAGGGATTGTTCCAGTCAATTATGCTGCAATACATTAGGAAGTAATATAACATGAATAAAAGAAAAAGGAAAATGTAAATGCTTCATTGATACAATTATACCATACTTAATCATCCAGTAAGTGTCCTTATGTTGTTTTAAGTATCTCCATCCCAGCTATCAGAGTATCTGAATCTTGCAGATTTTATAGGCAGGCAAAAAAATCACTGGGAACAATTTAATTTGTTAAACTCAAGACGATTTGTTATATTAAGCAATTTGAAAATAATTTGGAGTACGAACTGACAGCCCCTCAAGACTGAGTGTTTGTTTAATTGAGCACATTACTTGCCTAGCAGGTCACTAACCTACAAGTGTCCCCAGCCTTTATGAAAAGGTGTCTTAAGGGGACGTATAAGACTGGACTGGGGTTCTCTATAGCCAAGGATGGAAATGCCCGTGTTAAGTAAACAACCACATTTATAATCTATTTTGACATCTAGAATTAAACTGCTATTTGTGTTTCATTAACAATCACATTTTGTTCTTTTTATTCCTGCATGAGTGCACAGTGGGTATGTTGTTAATGTGCAAATACCCCCAGTCTGCTGAAAATGTACATTGTTCTGGGGGGGCTGGAGGAACCCCCTCTTTTCCCCTTTACCTCTGTTTGCTTTTCAGCTCCAGGTCGGCGGCGGTGGCGACGCTGTGCCGAGTGTCACTTGACGCGATCACTAAGTGCACCACTGCCTCCACCTCAGGGACCTGCTCTGCTTCTATGAACCTCACTATGCCCAGCTTACACTGCCCGGAGGTGGAAAAAGAAACAACACTTAATAACAAAGCGGAAATCAAGCCATACACCCATTTTCTGCTTTGGTTTATGCTGCCTGAAAGTTTTGGGGTACACATTTTACTTCAGGTCACATTTATATATGTTAAGCATAAAACTGTATTTCTATATGCCATACATCACTTTTTTTTTGCTCTCCTGCACACACGGACAAATAAACATACATATACTGTACAGTGCTCAAATTAAGACATTATATGTTAACGTGTCAAACCACCGCTTCTAAAAACACCAAATGTTCAGAATCTTTCAACTGACAGCAACGCTAGCATTTTTATACCTGGCTGTCTGGGTATAAAGTTAAGTCAAATTCCTGTAGAGTTGCTGTAGGTATAAAGTAAACATTACAAAAAAAAACACATTTAATCATACCACACAGTAAAAAAAGATAGTTCCCCCCCCCAAAAGTTAGTTCTCCCAATTCCACAATATCCTTGATGTTACAAACAGGCGCCTGCGGATGATCACCTGTTCGAGCTGCTCTGGGGTCCAGGGCGTCTCTCCGATGACGCGCTTCGCCGCGTAGAGGCTCATGCCAGGCGGTGGCTGGGGCAGCCCAGGGCCCGAACTGCTCCCGCTGGCCACCGAGCCCTGGGGGGAAGCCGGAGCCGGGCGGCTCTGGGGCTCATTGAGCACGAACCTAACAGCCGGCACCACAAAAAAAAAACACCCACGACTTACACTGAGCCTTCAGACAAAAGTGAAGCGCTACAAAAACTATCATCTGTCTTACAGTAAATTCCCCGGGCATGCATTTCAAACCAAGAAAGGGAAGCACTTCTCCACCCCAAGAGGAACGTTCTCCTCGAGCACCAGCAGTTTCTTGAAAGAAGCCAGGGTTTAAGACTTCAAAAGTAGGGCTCTTTCCACACTTCTTTCTGCGTGCTTTGTGTAATAAATGTCTCCTGTTTCCAGGTATCAAACCACTTTCACATAGTTTTCATTTGTGATGTCGGTTCTGTGGTGATTAAATGTACGTTTGTGAGGGTAAATGTGCAGAATTTCTCTCCACCTTTTATAGAACTATTCATTTTATCAAATTTTATACAGGACACTACAAAGAGACAAGGTACGGATACTTAAACTGATAAATATATGCATACAAAGATGTCAAAAGATTAACTCACTAAAGGAAAGAAAATGAATGAGGAAAAAAAGGAGAGATCTTATTTGTGGTCAAACAAAGAAGATTAGTCAAGCGGCAACTGAATATATTAATCTATAAATACAGATCAAAAATACCATTCCTATTGCCGAAATAGACACTGGATCATCTGCTGATGGTGGAAAAGAAGTAGTTGACATCCATTGAGCAACACACAGAAATGGACTCAAAATGCTGTATAAACAGAGCCCAGATCTTGACGGTGTGTCTGACTAGTCATTTAGAACTTACTACTGTGTAGAGACAGTGCAAAGAGTAAGAGAGAGCAGGAAGACAGAAAGTGTAAAGGTACTACCTCCATATGCAATCAAACAAGTCCAATCTCCAAGACATCAGCACGTCATGAACACATCATAACTTTCATTAGCAAAAGTTGGCTAATTTGCTCAAGTTGGCTAATCAATAGCAAAATCCAACAACCTAGGGCATTGGCATACTAGCAAACCTCTTTACTTCGAAAAGTCCTCTAGGAATGAACCTGAGTCAATGGAACATGCTTAACGTATTACAAATGCATACTCACCCGTAAGGCATAAGCAACACATCTAACATGAAATCTAAGAGCAGGTGCACGGTCTTTGGCTTCTCAACAAGGATGAATGGAGAGGCAGTTTTGGATGGCTCTGATGGATACTTCATGTGGAACAATGTGGGGATCAGGAGATGCATTAAGCTGAAAAAATATAATGAGAGAGAACTTGTTAATAGAACATGAAGCATTGTATTCAAATAGCCTGAATAACAAAATTCAGCTAAGCGTGCTGGCACCCAGGGCTAGATTTTAAGTATTTACGAAGGACATCACAATTTGGGCCTAATAATAACACTGACAATAAGGGTAAAATGATTCTAATATTTAAGTTGATTCAAAACATTTTTTATTTATGTTTCAGCTCATATTAGCATATTTAAGTTTCAGTGAAATCCAACTACTAGAATCCATTAGAATCTATTAATATACAAGATTCATTCCACACCATATTTTTTGCTGGTATTGCTTCAGTGAGAAAGATAAATGCCGAAATGCTGAAAATGCAGTCACAAATTCATTCCAGTTGGCAAGAGCTATGTTGCTTTTCTGTCAAACCAAATGTATTAAAATAGATCACTGTCTTTTACTGTTATTTTTAATTCTCCATCTACCTAAAAACTAAAGTGGATGAATTGTGATGTATTGTACACAATAACCCTCCACCACACCCACACATAAACAACCTCAGGAACCTTTGCTGTTAAACTGTTATAATATTAGAATTCTTATTTTGTCATGTGTTTTTATTTTCTTGATTAAAACGTGCAGCACATTGGACATAAATGTCAATCAGACATTAAATGCACAAACACAAAAACTGCAGCTGTATCCTTGTTCGATTGCTCTGGCCAAACAAACTTTGTAAAGGGGTACAAATGCTTGCTATAATCCCAACCTGATTTAAGACTTGAATGCAGGAGTTCAAGGAGGAGTTTTCCACTCAATAATTTGTTAACATTTTTTCTTCTTCAGTTTATACAAAATGCCCAGGCCATGAAGTCACTTATACCAAAAAGCTAATGATCAATGACTTACTTATACTTACACAAATAATACTGAACCTAAACTAAACTTCATACAGAACTGAGATGTACTGTATTCAAATGTTTTGCAAACACAACTTTGAATGTGCCATTCAACAAATAAACCCCTGCCTCAAGTGTCCTGTAGGCTTTTGAAGAACACCAAACAGTACAGGAGCAGACATCTGCAAAAAGGCATTGCTACTGGTAGGGCCACATGGAAAGACACCCTCACTGACACAGATCCTTACAAACGCTAGTTTCACCTGATGCACCAGATTTAAAGACTCCAAGAAGTGGGAGATGGCGAAGGGAAGGTATCCTCGCTTACATTTACTTGCGCAATAAACAGGACATGATTATCCTGACCATCACCTTCCAGCACAATTATGTCATGTCTGATTTCTTTTTTTTTGCAGATTCTGACCGAGGCGGGGCTAGATAAGCTGTGAATAACAGCTGGGAATAAAAGTCCATTCACCCATCTTGCTGTGGCTGTGGCTTTCCCTCCATGGCAGTCAGCAGAGTAGGGGCCAGCTCGCACTGTTTTTCCACATCCAGGCGGGGGTAACCCATCTTGATGTAAATTATGGTGAAATTCTGCAGAGAATCACAAGGGCAAAGAAAGTATCTATAAAAAAAAAATCACTAAAAAGGTACAGGTCAACAGTCATAACGGCTTAGAATTTGAGGCACTCATCTACTCACATACAGTAACAAAGTACATTACAATTGGATCTGCTGCATCTACTGTATGAATCTTCTGTCCTTAGTTATAAGAGCGTTTGCCTGTCACCTGAGATTGGATCTCATTCCTTCTCACTCCGATTTTCTATTCAATATTATTCAATTTCATACATTTTTTTTAATATTAATAAGCCAGTTCAATCAAGTTCTGAAAAAGAATTTGCATCAATAGATATTATACATGATACAAGATTAATTTCCTCAGATCAGAAAGGCCACAAATAACAGGAGGCTCATAAGGCCTGAGGGCAGCAGTGTAGGGCAGCAGTTAGGGTCCTAGACTCCTATTTGGAAGATCATGAGTTCAAATTCCAGGTGAGACACTGCTGTTGCATCCTTGAGCGAATATTTCACCCAAATGATTCCAGTGAAATATCCAGCTGCACAAATGGGTGAAGTGGATAAAAGCAATAGCCAACTAAGCACAGAGAACATAGGAAAAAATAAAATCCTTGAAAACTCCTTCAGAAAGTGACAATTGAAACCATACCTAACCTGTCAAATTAATAATATAACACATACTGTTCCTGAAAAACCACTCCTACAGCTGCTATAATCTGGCCCAGAGGACGTGGAGGCTCTTCAGACACAGGTTTAGGACCTGATGCCACTGGGCTATAGGATCTCATTGCAAGCTCTGTTATTTTTTTTATATTTAGAATGTTATTCATACATTTCCCATCATCAATTCACACAGGTGTACTGAGTCTCAATGAGGTTCTGTTCATTGGATTTTCACATTAGAAAGAGATCATGAATAATTAAACCCTAATTTCTCTTTATTCAGAAACGACATCATCAGACTGAACTGAGTCACTTCTTCCATCCTCAGCTCATTTTCTCCTGCTGGCAATACGCAAAACCTAAGTATAAGCTTTAAAGGGTCAGGTTGTCTTGTGTTTTGTTATATTTATATTGGCTCTGGTTTCGCAAACCAGTGAGGGAACACAGGCCAGGCCAGGAGAAAGTTGCCCAGTCATCTAGAAAAATGTCACACACCGACGTTTTGAAAATTAGTATAGAACAAACTGTAAACTTCTGAAAAAAAAATGCAACAAAAGAACAGAAGACATATAATAGTGTGGTGCCAATGCTGAGATGATATCCTGTATGTTCAGTGATGTTATTAGCACATTCAAGCAGTTGTATTCTGAAGAAATCCAAAATGTTTTCATTCCTTTGTGTCTACTTAATGTCTCAAGTCCAATATAGTACTTCAGTTTATCGTTTCCCATGATTATTCATGGAAATGTATGATAAAGAATCATCACTTTAGATTCTTTCACTGATTATCTAATACCACAGGATTTTCCGCAGACAAAATAGTTCTATTTCTCTTAAGGTAGTCATGGCATGTTTACATAATACTGACATAATTAACATCTTTATTAAGGTGTGTTCATATAATACACACAAATACAAAATGTGTACTACACAGCAAGATGGATATGTGGAAATTAGCTGACTGGATTGTTTAAGCACCAAACTAAGCTGTTTTTACTCAATGAGGCCTTGTGATCACAAACAGCATCCCACTGTATCTAGCAGATAATTAGTAAGTCTCAAAGAGTCAATGTTGGGCACAATTAGCCTTGAAGTCCTTAAGCTCTGGACACAGAAGGAATCAACTGCTAAAAACATTCCTTAATTGGCTAAAGTTACGATTCAAACCCATAAACTATTCAAAAGCTACCTAATAACCTGCAGGAATACGGCTATCCCAGATCTTAACTGCAACTCCCAGGCCTTGCAGACTCTGTGCCAATCATATAAGAAATAGCACAGACACTTTAAATTAAGTAATTTATGAATTACCTAATTCATACATTATATGAATTTCATTATTTCTGTTTATAGAAATATATGAACAAATATAATAGAAAAGGTATAAAAGGCTTGTAGGTTATTTAACTTTCAAAAGATTAACATTAAAAATGTATAAAAGTATAAAGTTACTTCACAGTAGTAATTTGATTTTCAATTTTCTACTTGTGCTTCCCAAAGCAAACATATCAGTTGTTTCACAAATAATTATAAGTGGAGAAAAATGCTTTATCTAAAAAAATTCATTGGCACACGGGACTGCAAAAATAGCTTTAAAAAGAAAGACAAAATGGTTATTTCCTATTTCTGCTATAACAGCATTTGATCATATGTACTGGGCAAAGACACTGAAAATTCCTTACAGAAAAACACCTAAATTAAAAATGAGGTCAGCGCTGCGAGTCATTCCAAACCAATTTTGTAGCCAAAAGGATGTGACGTTTGCAAATACAAAACAAATTCAACTGTCCATCTGTGACTCGCTATGATTCAGCAGTTACTGATGTACCCTACATATCGGTACCGCTATCTATCTCCAGTCTTCAAAGATTACAAATATTTATTTACTTCCTTACCATAAGCAGTGTTCAGTGTTCCATAAACTAAGCCTATCACGTTTATGAAAGTGCCTCAGGCAACTGTAATACTTTGACATTTACACCAAGAACTCAGTGTTAACAGTTCAGTGTTAATGTTATTCATATTCACCATAACAATGTAACCTCAACTGCGTCCTGGCCAAATTCCCCATTGCTCTTTAACAATCATGGCCTCCTAATAATCGCTATCTATTAACTCCTCCCCACTGAGAGCTGGTGTGTGGGGAGCGTTCTGGCGCACTATGGCTGCATCCAGGTGGGATTGCACATTGGTGGTCGTGGAGGGGAGCCCCCATGACCAGTAAAGCACTTTGAGTAGAGTCTCCAGAAAATCACTATATAAGTGTAAGTGCAATTATTATTATTTTTCTACCACATTTAGTAGCTTTGATCCCCCAGTATTTTTGTCTGAATTCTTTTGGCACATTTCGGAAATTTTTCTGTGGGGATCACAGGTGCTCTGTGTGCTATTTCGAAGGGAGAAAAAAGAAACCCCTTGCTTTTTCACCTGTTTTCTGATGTTTCAGTCGCAACCATTTTAGCTGCGTGGAAAATCACTGAGAAGATGCATTTTAAGGCTCATGGCAGAGCATTCTGTTCTGTTTTTGATGAACAACATCATATCTGGTTACAAACTGCACCACAGCCTTTAACAGAAGCACACAGTCAAAAACCACTCTTGAGAATCCTGACAATAATACACGCACAGAACAAAACACACAAACCGAGCAAAAAGCAACTGAAGACACTCAGGGCTTTATTCATAAAACCACTGTGGTACATTTATATCGGTTTATTCCCTGAAATGAAAATAAAAGTGAAGATGTGAAGTACCATCAGTTTTGCAGGATGGTCATGTGAGAGTCTCTACAGGCAGCTCAGACTTTCTTTTTCAGTTCTGTAGGTCTTGGAGCTCATTTCTCAGAGCGTGGTGATGAGCACAGAGTACACAGAGCTTAGACTGCCTACTAACACGCCTCGTTTTGGAATTTAATGCTGCGCACGCGTGGGGACCAGATAAGTATACCGTTCGACAACAGCAGCACAAAGCATGTTGAGTTAATGGATGCAACCTTCCAGCTAAGGGGGTGCTTCAGAATGATTTTCATTTTCTTGTCGCTTCAGGGCTGGGCGATTTTGGCGGCTGCTCATTTTTAATTGTAAAAAGACTCACTGTCACAAAGGAAGCGGCCGCAGGGTCCTGGTACTGCACCAGCAAGGTCTCCACCGGCAGCTGGATTTTAGGTCGGCTCTTAATGCGCTTGTTGAGGTGAACCAGCAGCTCCATCACCTGAGGGCGGCAAACGTGTCCAGTGAGAGGTCAGCGTCGCAAGACGGCTAAAAAAATAAAGCTCCTTCCCCCTAAATGTACAAGACACTTTGTCTCAGTCGATGCTTAAGTGTACGAACATTTTCACGTCAAGTTAAATTAAAGATTGCCATGAACCATTTCGAAGTGGGCATTTCTAATGAAAATAACAAAGGAAGAGCCCTACCCAAACAACCCAAGACATCTTCTCACAATGACAACAAACCATTGTGTTGACAGGAAGCATACTTATAAATTCAGATTTAACACAGCTGACTGATACGATCATTTTCTAATAAAGAAAACGTGTTTTTGTAGACAGATATATTGCAAATTGGCTTTTTTTTTTAATCAGAGGAAGAAATGGCTGGGTAAAACAGGAATCTCCTGAAGAACGTAAGAAGAGAATCCACTCCCGAGACACAAGGAGTCAAGAAGCTGTTCGAAGCGTCAGTCTTACTTTTTTCCTCACACCTTCCTGAGTGCTGGACAGCTTCAGCAGCACAGGGGGCAGGAACTTGGATATGACGTTCTGCAGCTGCTCGTCCGTCTCTGCGTGCCCCAGGCAAAGGAAGACGCGCTCCAGCTGATCTGCCCAAGGCAAGCACACACAGGTGGCACAATAAACAGAGCACCGGGACATTTCCCACCGAGCTTCAGCAGGGCAACCCATAAAACCAGGTGCTCAAGTGGCTGTGCATTAAAGGCAAGCATCTCTTTACCTGTTTCCACAGGTGACATTTACAAAATATAATATACAGTCATGTGAAAAAGAAAGTACACCCTCTTTCAATTCAATGGTTTTACATATCAGGGCATAAATAACGATCACCTGGTCCTCACCGACTTCTATAATAAGACAAATCTAGCCTCAGACAACAGACAACACATCGCAGATTTCACTATGTCATTATTTATTCAACAAAAAGTAAGCCAAAATGCAGGAACAATGTGGGAAAAATGAAATGCACCCTTACTGCTTCTGTAGGAATTAAGAAGGTAATTAGCATCCAGGTGCTGCTAATCAAATGCACGTGATTAGCTGATCATCAGGAAGTGTGACCACCTCAAATAAAAGCAGAACTTTTGGCAGTTTGGTGGTCTGGAGCATTTAGATGTGTGTTAACACCATGCCAAGGAGAAAAGACATCAGCAATGAACTCAGAGAAGCAATTGTTGCTGCTCATCAATCTGAGAAAGGTTATAAGGCCATTTCCGAACAATGTGAAATCCATCGTTCTACAGTGAGAAGGATTATTTACAAATGGAGAACATTCAAGACAGTTGCCAATCTTCCTGGAGTGGGCGTCCCAGCAAATTCATCCCAAGGTCAGACTGTATAAGGCTCAGAGAAATTGCAGAGAACCCAAGAGCTACATCTAGGGATCTACAGGCCTCGGTCAACATGTTAAGTGTTGAAGTTCATGACTGTACGATCAGAAAAAGACTGAACAAGTATGGCTTTCATGGAAGGGTAGCCAGGAGAAAGAGAGTCTTTCTCTCCAAAAAGAACATGGCAGCACGGCTTAATTTGCAAAGCTGCATCTGAACAAACCACAAGATTTCTGGAACAATGTCCTTTGGACAGACGAGATCAAAAGGGAGATGTTTGCTCATTATGCACAATGCCATATTTGGCGAAAACCAAACAGCGTATCGCAACAAACACTGCATACCAACTATCAAGCATGGTGGTGGAGGGGTGATTTGGGCTTGTTTTGCAGCCATAGGAGCTGGGCACTTTGTAGGAGACAAATTTGAGGCCATCTGTCTGACAGCTAAAGCTTGGCCATAACTGGGTTATGCAACAGGACAATGATCCCAAGCACGCCAGCATGTCTACAACTGAATGGCTGAAAAAGAAAAGAATCAAGGTTTTGGAATGGCCAAGTCAAAGTCCAGACCCCAACCCCATTGAGATGCTGTGGTGGGACCCTAAGAGAGTTGTGCATAAACGAATGCCCTCCGACATCAATGAACTGAAGCAATGTAAAGAAGAGTGGGCCAAAACTCCTCCAAAACGATGTGAGATGCTGATAAACTCATACAGAAAACGATTACTTCAAGTTATTGCTGCTAAAGGTGGTTCTACAAGCTACTTGAATCAAGGGGTGTACTTAGTTTTTCACACATGGCTTCTGCATGTTGACTTATTCTTTGTTAAATAATGACATAGTGGAATCTGTTATGTGTTATTTGTCACCTGAGGTTAGAGTTACCTTATTTTAGGACCTGGTAAGGACCAGCTGGTTTTTTATGTCCCGATACATAAAACCACAGAATTGAAAGAGGGTGTACTTTCTTTATCACATGACCGTATATATATATAACATATAGGGATACTTAATCTTCTCATTGTTATTTTTTTTGGTGCTACTACTGCAAGCGGTACTGTACAGTATGTCAAGAACACTTGCACGTTTCAATGTACAAAGTGCTAACACAGATCTTCCCATATGATCCGACTGGTAACCAAACAGTTTTGTTTGCAGTTTAAATATGCTGCTAAAACTGGAAAAAGAAAGAAAGTAAGATTGCTGTTTTCTGTGGCTTCACTGCAGATTTAGAAAAAGAGGGGAGTGGCTTTTTAAAGTGCATTCAAATGTATGTTAAAAGGCTTTAATGCCTGAGTCATTTAGAACGCGTGGCACCATAAAATAACTGAAATGACAAATTACCGGTTTCAGTTAAAACGCATTCACCATACAAATTATTACACTCTATATTAAAATACGACTTGGATTTTTCATTGACCAATAGCAGACTTTTAAATACATAAAAATGAAACAAAAAAAAAAAACTTGACAGACTTATGCTCTCTGGCACACCAGGTTGCAAGACAGAAAGGAAGCACTAAAGACATGAAAACCGTAAAAAAAAACGATAGTCTGTCACTGTTCCCCTGCGATGACGTTCATTGGCAATAATTTCTGTATCTACAATGTCAATACATTGGGGAATGATATGTAAAAAATGTCTTACACTAACATGAGGCTATTTGCATGGCCTTGAATAAAGCTCTGAACAATACTGCTGCACTATGCCTAAGACTACTTTAAATGTGCAGTATAGCTTATGAGAATAAAATAAGAATGAACAAAATGGATCACTAAAAGGCATTTATATGCATACACACGAACTTTAACAGAAAACTTAAGGTTACTCTCTAACTAAAGAGTTCAACAAATATTTCATGAAAATTACAATACGAGACCCTATTCGTAGGGATTATTTATCCAGTATATTTTTACACAAACCATATATGTGAGTGCAGTTCCCTTCTTCTCATTTTTATGAGCAATTCTGGACGTACAGTACATTGTAAACCTTACCACCGCCCTTAAAAGACTGCGTTTAATGATTAAAAAAAACTACATGACACTATATGAAAGCAAAACACCGAAACATTCAATTGCACGGAAATCTGATCCTTCCTTAAATTAAGTGCATAAATAATTTACGATTAATATAATTACTTTCGTTTTCAGATCATGACTGTGCACTAGGCCTATTTCTCTTCTTTTTCCCCCCAACGTGTATTGTAGTCATTATAAGTGCATACGCAGTATAACGTCAGTGAAACTCTGCTCTGAACGTTTATTTTTTTCACAAAAAAGGCGATCTCGGCTTTAGCTATTAACGACAGACAGAGGCTAAAACACGATATTCCCCGACTTTTCCGCTGACCGGTTTTTCATACCACAACTAGTAACTTACTGAGCTCATCCTGCGCAGCCATGTTTGCAGTGACTCCGAAGCACACAGACGCAGCCACTCCTGCTTGCTGTGAGGAGCCGTCTCCGAGCTGAATAATCCCCTAACTCTCTCGCCCTGTATATTTAGAAATAGCTGAGGCTACAGAAACCGCTGCAGACAACTGATACAACAGCACCACTTAGAGCCGAAGTGAAGGTATTTCCCAGCAGAAATTTAGCGAGACCTACAGTACGGCGACGGAACAGAAAATAATGTCCAATTTTCAACCCATCTTTGGGTGCCTCCCCGGTTTGCAGTTTGAAGTGGTCCGTCCACTTGAAGTGTCTTCCTCGGATGTAATGGATTACAATTGACAGTTCGGTAACGATGATTTACTGGGGGAGGGAATGGGGATTTAAAGATCAACTGTGTGTTCATTTGAAAAAAACAATCCAAACAATGTATTGATGTCTTACTGTTTACTTTGTTGTGAAAAGACAGAAGGGTGGGGTCCATCGAGATGTTCAAGCTGAGTTTATTGAACAATTATTATTAACTATGCAACAATACGTTATTTTTATATATTCTTCCCTGCGGATCAATTCGTGCCCTTCCCAACAGTGTTTCTTCCTCGCTGTTTTCTCACCTGCAGCACCAATACTATATGATCTGCACCTTTCTCTGCCCCCCCTCCTTCCCATCCCTGTTTTTTTTTAAAGGATAAGGTTAGGAGGTTGAAAACTGTGCAGTTGCTCTACAGTTCTAATTTGTGAATTTTCTTTTTCAGGTTGAAAACTTACACAGGGTTAGGGAGAGGACTGGAGTTAGGTTAAGCATTAGTGTTATGCTTCCATTTGTGGTCACAGTCGAGATCATTTCGGGGTTAGATTAGATCCATGCTGAGGGGAATAGTTGGGATTGGGACCAGTCTGGGATCCAGGTAAGGCTTCAGCCTAATTTTAACGACTAAGGGTAAGGCTAGAGACTAGGTTTAGGGTTACATATTGTAATAAATACAGACCCCGATTAGCACTTATTGTTACCTAACTGATTGCCCACCTTTATATAAGTGAATAAATGTTAATCACTGTCTATGAAACCAGTGGATAATGTTATACAGTACATAATCTCATATTACTGAAAAAGATTATCATACAAAGTACTGAAAACATTATGGGACATATCAGGACTTATATTTTGTTTTGCACTAGTTGTTTCCTTTGGTTAATTCAAAATAATTTGGGGGCAGTGTGGTGTGACATTGGTTAGCATTGCTGCCTCACAGTGCTGGGGTCCTGGGTTCAATTTCAACCCTGCTGTCCTGTGTGCATGGAGTTTGGATGATCTCCCCATGTTCCTGTGGGTTTCCTGCAGGTGCTTCGGTTTCCTCCCATTGTCCAAAGACGTGCCGGTACTGTAGATTGATTGACGGCCGGGAAAACTGGTCCTGGTGGGAGTGTGTGTGTGTGTGTGTGTGTGCGTGTGCGCGCCTGTGCATCTGCCCTGCGATGAACTGGCATCTCGTCCAGGATGTATCCCGCCTCATGCCCGTTTCCTGCTGGGATAGGCTCCGGCTCCCCTGATTTGGATAAAGTGGTTAAGAAATGGGCGGATCATGATAGGTTAAGTACAATGCCGTGCAATCACACTAGAAAGTGTCAGAGTGGGAGGATAAGACTGGCCAGAGCCCCAGGTGGGAGATGCCAGTGGAGAACATCAGTGGGCTTGTAACTGCGCACCAGGGGGCTGACAGGATAGCAGTGGCTGTAGACCTGTGCCAGCATTTCTGAGACTCCGACGGGACACGTGGGCTGGTGTGTGTGATCAGCATCTGGGGGAATCGCCCCTCTTTCTGTGCCAGAGGCTGTGGCAGTTCAGAGCGATGCTGTTTGGATTGGGTAATGCTCAAGGCCCTCGAGAGAGGCTCATGGATTTTGGATACCCTGTCAGACTGTGTACTGTGCCTGGATGACGTAATGACGCTGCTTTTGAGAGTGCAATGATAAACTGACTTAGTATGAACCCGCATCGGGACTTCAGGGTGAAAGTGCTTTCTAAAATATGCTGCTTCCTGTGATGAGAGGCTGAGGCCTTGGGACATACTGTCCAGCCTATCCCTGCCAATCTGAAGGAGGTACAGCATGAGATCAGCTTTGTTCCGTACCTCAGGTGATTTGTGAAGGACGTTGTTGACACTGACACGAATGATCTGGAGACTGGGGTGATGTTTTTCACAGGCTGGCCCAGAGAGAGAGCCATTACCATCTACAGCACTTTCAGGCAAGGAGCTGATCTAAGAGGAACTCTACTGTTGACGCACAGAGAACTGCTGCCTGTGGTGTCGCCAGTGACTCACTCCTGCCTGCACAGTACCTCAGTGGGCACCACTTCCTCCTTCGCGCTGATCATGCCTCCCTCTTCTGGTGGCTGAGCCTGCTGTGCCAGCAGCCATATCACCCTGCAGCTCACACCTGCCTGCCCAATGAAGCTTATCGGGTGTGAGCCTGGTCAGTACCTGGATGGGAGACCTCTTGGGAAAAACTAAGGTTGCTGCTGGAAGAGGTGTTAGTGGGGCCAGCAGGGGGCGCTCACTGTACAGTCTGTGCGGGTCCTAATGGCCCACTCTAGTGATGGGACTACTATACTTTAAAAAGGCGCTGTCCTTCAGATGAGATGCAAAACCGAGGTATGGACTCGCTGTGGTCACTAAAAATCCCAGGGTGCTTCTTGAAAAGAGTAGGGTCGTTACCCCTGTGTCCTGGTCAAATTTCCCATTGGTTTTTACAAATAATCCCCATCTTTGAATGGGCTTCATCACTCTGTTCTCCTCCCCACTGATAACTGGTGTGCAGTGAGTGTACTGGTGCACTATGGCTGCAGTGGCATCATCCAGGTGGGGCTGCACATTAGTGGTGGTAGAGAGGAGTCCCCATTACCTGTAAAGCTCTTTGAGTGGAGTGTCCAGACAGAAAAGTGTTATATAAGTGTAAGGAATAATAATAATTATTATTCTGTGAGTTTGAAGGGCAGACAGGCTCACTGAATGGAAGCTCTGTAGCCCTCCGACTTTGAGGTGGAGCCGAGAGCTGGGAACCTGAATGCAGACGCCCTTTTCACACGGGTCCTGTGGGACAGAAGACCGTGGTCCCAGCGATACACACCGGGCACGGCTTTGGGCAGGAGACCCAGACTTTGGAGTGGGACTGCGAAAGATGGCAGCAGGTCAGCGGCAGTCCCCCACTCCTGATGGTCAGAGAGACCAGCACACTGAGAGTCTGAATTCTGTGCTGCTCAAGGAGGCTACAAGGAACAGTGGGGGGTCTCTAGCAGGGGAGTAGTCTCGCACTGCTAAGGGAAGTGGTTCTGGGGGCCCTGCTTGGGGGTTTTAAGGGTGCCAAGACCTTAGGAACTGAGATGATGTGAGGCAGTAGTACAAGACCCTGGACCTTGTGAGGGTTAACATTACATTATAATAATAATAATTAATAATTGCTTACACTTATTTAGCGCTTTTCTGGACACTCCACTATTTTAATTTTTTTTCTGACAGTTTAATCTAATTATATTAAGTGATTATATTCAAAAACTGACCATAAGTTGTAAGAAAACCTGTCCTATTGGGTAAACACAATAAAATTCTCATTTTGTCATTTAACGTGCAAGTAATAATAATAATAATAATAATAATAATTGCTTCCACTTATATAGCGCTTTTCTGGACACTCCACTCAAAGCGCTTTACAGGTAATGGGGACTCCCCTCCACCACCACCAATGTGCAGCCCCACCTGGATGATGCGACGGCAGCCATAGTGCGCCAGAACGCTCCCCACACATCAGCTATTAGTGGGGAGGAGAGCAGAGAGTAATGTAGCCAATTCATAGATGGGGATTATTAGGAGGCCGTGATTGGTAAGGGCCAATGGGAAATTTGGCCAGGACGCATTAGGTTAGGTTTGTGATGTTTGTAAATTTGGAAACATAAACTTGTGGTTCTAAACCCTGATCATGGAAATTCTTGTGTTTTTTTTGTTGGTTTTTTTGGGGGGGAGTCAAGAACTTTATCACAGGATAACTGATTTAAATTTCCTGCATGAGGCATTATTTATATTTGCTTTTAGCTCTTTAAAATGGGATTTGTCATCGGTATCAATACTGTGCCAATTTGTAATCAGCGTGATTCCTCTCATTCAGTGGCGCTAGCTTGAAATGGAACCAGACCTCTGCAGAAGGAAAAAGAAACACACCTCGACAGTGTTTATGTATGGTCATCCCCACCCATTTCCCCCCAGTAAATTAATCACGTCTTAAGAGCTGATGTGCTTAAGAAGACAAACAAAAGAGGGGGTAAACTTTTAATAAGATGAGAAGGGGCTACCGCATTAAATTCTGCATGCCGAGTTCGTTGGTTCAGTGGGCCGAAGTCTTATTTTTTTTTTAATCCAAGGTCTGCATGCAGAAGCAGGAGAACCCCAAAACAAAACGGGGCAAAGCAGGTCCGTTAAAAAGACGAAACGGCGTCAGGGACCGAAAAGCCGAAGCCCAGCAGACACTGAAGTCTCCAAGGACCGGGCCGGAGGACCACTGCCCCGGAACCCACTGGAGGTGCAGTGATTTCTCTCCAAGCCTGCCCTTTCGGAACTGAGCTCCGCGCTCCGTGCAGCGTGCGGCGTCTCCCCAGGTGCCTCCAGGGGGCGTGCCCGTGACGCGCGGGCATGCGCGCTGCCGCTCGCCTCGGTTGCAGCAGCAGCAGCAGTAGTTCGTAGTGGGAGGAGAGCAAAGAGCCGAGCTGTCATAAACCGGAGGACTTTAACAGCACAGGGAGAAATATATACGTAAAACAGACACAAACACCGACCAAAAAATCAGGTAAAATAACCCAGCGCCCTGTTGAGCATGGCAACGGACATAAGACTGATCAATGTACCGCGATCGCTTTATGTTACCGACTTAATACCCCGTTGACTGCAAACTGTCTCGCTTTATTGTTATGATATGTGCAATACTGTATACATCATGATGTCAGCGCAGGGGGGTTATCTCTCGCTGATCCCCTGGTGAAAACGTACGCTTTCATCCCTCATAACAGGCCCGCTTTAAGCCTTGTTTTGTTGGTTTTTTTTCTACCCCTCTCTTCCTTTCTGCCTTTTTCCTCTTGCGCCGTGGACGCGTCGTGTTCGTGAGGAAGAGGGGGTCATGTAATGGGGCTCATGACGAGAGGGGGCAGTGGGTTGTGTTGCTGTGCCGGTGGTGGTGGTGGAAGGGGGGGGACTTTGCTGTCATCGTCACCAGATAGTAGTATGGACACAACGAGGAGGACCTGCTCAGCGATCGTGTTTTTTTTTTTTTTTTGGGAGTGTGTGTGTGTGTAGAGAGAGAGGGGGGGAGTGTGTTAGGACTCGGGAGGTTGCAGGAGAAGAGC